TATTACATTACATCTGCTAAAACAACAATCATTGTTTCCATGACAACGTAAATACTGATTAATGATATAGGAAGTCCGCTGATAGATTTTTAGTTTTTTTAGATTGGTTTGTGGTATAGCGTAATGCTAGGCCTACTACAGATTTTATTGGTATCAAATCTTCACGAGACTTGGCAAAAGTGTTGGAAATATTATAAACAATAAATGTTCAAAATATCAGCAGATTTAGAATAAGTCCCTGTTGCTAAGTAGTAAAGTAAGTTACCAAGAAACCATGAGTCGGCTGGCCTGGTAGTGCGTCCGTTTTTAACGAAGTCAGTGTTTATCATCGTTTTTTCTCACTTGCGCATTTTGCAAACAGGACACGAATTTCGATATTAAAACAATGATAACTTCGTAAGTACAAATTGGATAAGATTTTTTTCACTATCGTAAATCTTGGAATTCATATTTTTACAAGATATTAATAACTCCAAACTCGTTTTTCCGACATCGGACTGTTTCCCCTTGTCACCGCCACATTTGGTTGTATTACACTGCCAATATTGTGCGATTCTGTCAGACCCTTTGACAGAGAATAGTGTTAGATTACTGCAATAAAGGTTTTGTGTGGAAAGTTATAGGCCATTAATCATGCCGGCATATGCAAAGGGCTTACGTTGGTATCTGGTTGGATGTGTTGGATTTCGCATGATATTTTGTCGGGTGATACTGAATTAGGTTAACTATGAATACTCCCCAGGGATTGTGTTTTTGTTGTCTTATATCCAGCAAGCAGGGGTGATAATTATCTGCTGCTTAGGTTCAGTTGTGAGTACTATAAAATACAAGCAGTTCTTTCCATATCTGGGCCTACAGTAGCTAACAGTTTACAAGCCCAATGAAGGAGGCCGTTGAGTAAGACATTTTTGCTTATAACATGCTGGGTCGTCAGTGTAATGCTAACTGCGAAACTGGGTTCCCGGGAAATAACCCTGGGAAACAGTGATCTATAATTTGTTCATACTTTTGCCAAGATATCTATTTACTGGCACCATTACATTCAGCATATAATATCATCGACACAGATAGCCAGGAAACGATGAGTAACGCATTGGGATATTAATTTCTTGCGGTTGTAGCGTTTTATTTGTCTGGGCAATGTGGTGCGTTTGTTTTTATAGATAGATTTATATATTCAACAGCTAAATCTTTCTGTTTCTTGCAGTTTAAACTGTAAATACATAAAGTGCCTAAGATTATGTAGATTTGTGCAATATAAACTGTATGTAGATTACATCCCCATTTGAATTTTAGTATCACAAATCTTGATTTACAGTACAGTAAGAATAACATATTAAGTTTTTTTTTTGGTGAAGTACCTCCAGAATTTTTTTATACATTGTTTAGCGAACCCACCGCCCTCCAATAATAATTTCAAATAAAAATGAAATTTTATATTTGACCAATTAGCGCACACGCCTAACAAAAAAATAAAAAATAAAAATAAATTTTTAAAAAAATAAATTTATTTTCACTATGCCTGTTGCTGCCTTGATATCTCCAAAAATAAGATACAGTATGTATATATATTCCCTAATTATATGAATTTAAAGCATTTAACCATCCCATTACTACACTGTTTTCATTCACCAATAACATTTTATTTTTATATTCTCCTCCATCTTGATGTATTTGGCAAAACTATTTGCTAAATATGAAAACAATTTATTTTTTCCTGCGCTTCTCTGACGATCCTTGAGAAGAAAAGTTTGCGAAACGAGACATAAAAGAAGTCTCGCCTCAGTGATATATAAAGTTGTATTTCTAATTATCATAATAGTAATATTTTAATATGTTATTTAATTTTTTTCAAATCATTCAACAGCGAAAAGCCAATTACAGGATGCCTTATATAATACATTTTTAAAAAACATTAAAAGTATACTGCACAAAAAGATTATTAATTATTAATACAAGTACTAAATAGAAATTTTAAATAGATTGCACATATATGTATAAATATATTACAAAATTAGTATTGAAAGAACACAAATTCGATTATAGATAGATATTGCATGTACATATAAAAATACATTACCAAAATGCTACTGACAGAACACATAATCCAACAATAACATACATTTAAAAGACAGTACAATAGAAATCAGTAACATGTACATTACAGTAACAGCCTAAAAATTTTAATTTATGCTAAAAAATATCACCATTACCAATAGTGTCACCATTTCACTAACCAATAATGTATCGGATGAATTATTGTTGGTTCATGAACCCTATAAGTCCCAAGCTATAGTAAAAATAAATTGAATACAGAAATGCCGTCCAAACTTGATTTCCAAACCTCACTATGCTTGGGCCCAACATTTTTGTTTTCTTAAACATAAAATAAAATCAATAATAATGATGAAAGTACACATTTAAAGTAAAACTGTAGATTGATGGTTATGGTGCTCATCTTTAAATACCATGGACCTCGGTTCATTTTTTCACAGCTAATAACATCTCCACTTCCAAAGGCTCATAAAGTGAATTAGATTGTAAAGCACCATTCATCCTTCAATTGTGGCACAGAAAAGCTGATCAGACACTCCTTGCAAATTCTGTTTTAGAGATAATGCAAAACATTTTTGAATGGCAAACTTTTTAAAACTCTATTCTATTTCACTAAACTGAACTTTATATATCTATACATAATAGATAATAGGTTTATTTTCCCCATTTTGAACGTAAAACAACATTTCTAACGATTTGGTGATTGCCGAAATAAAAAAAAAATCTTTAAAAGCATACAGTATTTCTCAAGAGCTACAATTATGTCCAAAATCCTGTAACTTCATAACGAAATATCGGATTTAAATGATTCTTTTAAAATTTTATAAATTTCATTTTACTGCTTAACCCTGCATTAATAGCTAAATATCCATTTTTTACAAGGGGTGAGTGGTTCAGCTTGTCTTTGCAACAATAGGTGAGTACTGTAAATGCTCGAATAAGCGCTGCTCTTGGATAAACACCGCACCAAACCTGATATTTTTCGCTAAGTACTGCTCTCAAATAAGTACCACAGCACTTAATCGAGAGTATAATATTACACTGTGTAATGAAACAGTTTGAGACCCAGGCCTTTAAATGCAAAACAGTGTTAAATAAATAAATAACACAATGAAGACACAAGCATTTCTTTATAAACCTTTATTTACGATGGCGTTGGAGTTATGATAGGCCTACTGAACTACGGGAATATGTGAGATAGGTAACATAGGAACTGGCATGGAAAGCGCAACGCCAATATTTTTTTATAAGCCCCACTCTCGAATAAGAGCCGCACTGAAGCCTCAAAACAATTTGTAAGCACCTCAGCACTTATTCAAGCATTTACGGTATTTTCTTTCTATTTTTTTTATTTCTTTATTCTGAATATGTACATAAAACAAAGAAAAGAAACATAATCAAAGGATAAAAAACACAATAAAGTATCGAAAATTGGCAACTTATTTCCATTGTGGTCCTTGCGTATAAACAATCAGAAACAGTAAAAAACATGACATGCTGTATCTGTGGATACAGAATTCTTTAGTATCATACTTTATTGTCAAATACTTTCAGATGTGAAAAATTAATATTATTGTTATTATAAATGTTAAAACAAATATATAGTTTTATTCCCAAGTGATTACTATATAGTCACATATAATGATAATGGCCCTATACAAATTGCATACTAAGTCCCAGAGGGCGCTCCACTTTCTGAATGCATGCCAGTGCGATCAGTTTCACACTTTTGATTTAACTTTAATTTCTCTATGAAAGGAATGCTGAAAAATTGTTTTTTATGATGCTTTTATGATTTGTCTGGCATATGTTGATGTAAAGAAGCAGAGTCAAGATTAATATGCCACAATAATCTCTGCAATTACATAACATGTGTTGGCTGCCCTGGACTTGTATATGATATGGTGTGCATTTTATATACACTCGTAAACCTGTTTTCATTTGACCATAAAATTATTTTATGAGGTGGATATTAAGTCAGAGTTAGACTGTAGTATCGGCTTTATTTTTTAATATTCTTAAATATTTTAATTACCTGTGTCATTATTCACATCATCAAGATATTCATGTGTTTCTCAAACAATTATATTCATGTGTTTTATAAATATATTTATTGTTTCTATTTTATATGTGTATTATATCAATTGAAATTGATTCAGTTTATCTTGTATTAATAAAATACATTATGCAAATAAATTATTAGTATAGCTGTTTGTGGCATAAAATGAAATTTTGAAAAATATTTCAAAAATAACAAATTACTCAGACAATAATTACATAAATTAAAATAAATAATAATGAGCAATAAAAAGATAGTTATTAATTAGGGGTATACATAATAATTGAATTTAAATGAATATAAAATTGCCTAGATATACAATTATGATAGGCCTACACAGTATAATACTGTACTAATAAAGAATTAAAATATGTGACCGGCTCTGGCAAAGCCGCAGTTTATCGCAAGTTTCATGTTTGCATTTTATAAAAGAAGATATATTGAAGAACATTGCTATAAAATATCAATCACTAAATCTATATATAGATTAAAAGGCAAAATACTGAAAAACAACAATGCTGTGGGAAACAATGGCTGGATCTCAATAGAGATACAAAAATGATAAGCAACAGCTAAAAAGTAAACGTAAGTAAACAGCCAGAAATAGAACCGGAGCTTTCGGACAACACTAGTCCTTCCTCAGTGGCGAGTGAGTGAGGGTAGAAAAAGCTAGATAGTATAAAGGGAGAATTTCATGCAAGCATGATTGGAAACAATAGGCTGGGTGAGATAAGTTTGTCTTTATGAACATTATATGAGTTAGATGTGAATAAGAGACAGATATATTACAAACCTTAATAATAAACTATTGATTTAGGAATCTTTGGAAGCTGTTTTCTCAAAAAATACATGGCTGATATCCAATGAAATAAATATTCATTACTTCAGTATAAACACTCAACCATTTTCCATCAAATACATTCTGCTTTAAAGAAAATAAAAAAACTCAATTTTGAATTTTTCATACAAATTGAGGGTTTTGCCAAAGCCGGTCACATATAGTTCTTAATTTGCAACTGTAACTGTTGTTAGAATATAAATGAATATTTCAAATATTGATAATAATATCTAACTCCCCCCCCCCCTCCTCCTCCCACTCCCCCCCCCCCTCCTCCTCCCAAAAAAAAATCTGCTACACAGTCAAATTTTCATTTCCTAATGTGATTTTGAAATGCCTATCATGTTTAAAAACCATAACTAGGCACATTTCAGTTTTAAGTAGATATCTCCTAATTTGCCTCTCTGCATATTACACTTCAGCTCTCCATATCACCTGCTCCAGTTTTCCACTAAAGTTCAAACCCTTTTGTGTCACCTCTATCAATTTATGTTTTTTTTTTAGTGTCATCACCAGCATCATCTTTTCCTATAACATGATCAGTTTTTGAAGCAACACAGTTTATTTGTCCTAGAGCAAGGCAAATATGCCTATTTAGCTATAACTAGCTATCCCGGTAGAGGCTTGGGCAGTGTTTATTTCCAGCCAAATGAGAAATTTGAACTGTTTATTGTTTCAATGATGTGTGAGTCACCCAATAAAGATATCTTACAGACTCCCTTTGTCTTTCTCTTGTTGTAATTAAAAAGTAATAATTGTCATTGTCCAATTTCTTGATTGCAGAAAGCAGAGTATGTGATTATTTTAGAAGAAGATCTAGATGTCTCAGAAGATTTTTTTAGGTAAGGAAATTAGATGAGTGTGGGCGAGACTTTTTTATTCCTTGTTTCGCGTACTTATTTTTTGTTAAAGATCTTCGGAGAAGGGCGGAATAAAAATTTAAACAAAATTTTGTTTTCTTATTTAGCAAATAGTTTTGCCGAAAACATCCAGATGGAGGAGAGAATAAAAATAAAATTTTATTAGTGAGTTTAAAATAGGATGGTTAACTGCTTCAAATTTATATAATTAGGAAGAAATATATCTTATCTTTAGAGATTTCAAGGCAGCTGAGGGCGTAATAAAAGTAAAGAAAAACTATATTTTTTTCTGAAATTTCCACTTTTTTGTGGCGGCGGGAGCGCTAATTGGCCAAAAATAAACTTATTTTTATTTTAAATCATCAATATTTGCAGTCTGCGGGTTCGCTAAGCAAGGTATAAAAAATGTCACGTCTGAGGATGATTTTGATGATGAAGATGATTGTGATGGTGCAGAAGATTATGATGGTGATGCTGGAGATGTACTGTAGAAGATAATGATGTTGATGATATGATGATGATAATGTTGATGTTAGTAATGATGATGGCGGATGATTGTGATGATAATTATGATGATGATGAAAACTGATGATGGTGATTATTAAGAAGACAGCAATGACAATTATGATGACGGCAGACCTCAATTTGCATGTGGAGTCAAAAAATATATCAAAGAGAAGTTTGTGATAATGGTGATGATGTTGATGGTAGTAATGATAATTATGTTTAGGTATGGTGATGGTATTGGTGGTGATGATGGTGTTGGTATTGACGATAATGGTGTTGGTGGTAATATGTTGATGGTGATGAAGGTGATTGTGATAAAGGTGGTAATGTTGACGATGATGGTGATGTTGACGGTGGTGAGGTTGATTATGGTGATGATGGTGTTTGGTGGTGGTGATGATGTAATGATGGTGTTGATGGTGATGATAACAATATATTTTCTATTATTATATTTGCATTTTTTAATTAATTATTAATTAATCTTAATAAATGTTATAATTTTATTTCTTTAAGTTATTTTAGTCAGACTAGACACTTATTAGAGGAAGATGACAGTATATATTGTATATCTGCCTGGAATGACCAGGTTAGTAGAGCACAAACATATTACTATCAATATGCATTAAATTGTTAATGGATTGATGAAAATGTTGCACTTGCCATGTTGTTAAGATATTGTGTGATGGAGGAAATACAAGTATAATGTGAATGTAACGGTGATGTTCATGATGGTTATAATGATGATTGTGATACAGATAATGATTATGGTAATATAGTTGATTATTATGATAATCATGACAATGTTGATGATGCTGTAGATGATGAAGAAGCTGAAAATATTAATGATAAAGTTCATAACAACAGTGGTGATGATGATGACAAAGATTACAATTTTGATGAAGGTGACCTTGATGATGAAGATGCTTTTGATGACGATTATGATGATAATAAAGATTACAATTATAGTAAATGTGACAATTATGATTTGTCCAAACCCAAACCAAAATCTTGAAAATCTGTAGTTGTTATTTTTTTATATATAAAATCTAAATACTTGCATAATGTTTAGAAAAGCCACTTTTGACAGTACTGATGATGATGATGATGATAGTGACGACGATGTCACTGATTATGATGATTTTGATGACAATGTATGCAATAACATGTTTTTTTTAGTTTTTTGGGTTTTTTTTGTATTTTTTCCCCTAGGGATATGAACATACCTGCAATGATCCAAGTTTATTGTACAGAGTAGAGACAATGCCAGGCCTAGGCTGGATGCTAAAACGTAGTATTTACAAAGAGGAGTTAGAGCCTCACTGGCCAACACCAGAGAAGGTAAAAACAATTATAAAGCCTGGTTCTCGCGAGAGCCCTAGTATCCGGATCGGGAGCAAATGTTAGCGCTAATCTTTAGCACCTGTGTGAGAACGCCCGTTCGAAAACTGCTAACCGTTAGCGGTATCCGGATACCGCTAATGGTTAGCAAGCGCTATCGGTTAGCACGTTGAGCGCGTTTCTATCATCAACCAATCACAGGTACGTATTTACAATTTCCAGTTTCTTATTGGCCAGTTATTTGATCATCATATTCTTGGTATCAGGATCGGGGTTTTCTCGTATGGACGGACGGTATAGTAGCTTCTGTACCATGGTCACTTTTTCGTACCACAGATCTTTCCGAGTTTCTGGTATTCTTCTTGTATTAGTATCATTGAGTGGCTATTGTTACAACAGACTTCTGAGAATTTTGATTGGATATTATTGTAATGTAGTGTAATGGTCATGCATTTGGCTTTTCCAAAAGATACCAATGATCCAGAATAAGAGGAAAAAAAACCAATAAAGCCAAAATTGATTGTTGTTTTAAGTAGCAACTAAAAAGAACTATTTTAATAATTCCTGCATACAAAAACATCCAATGATTAGGAAATTGTTTAAAGAATGGTGTAACAATAGCCACTGTCTATTATTACTATGTGTTTATTGATGATAATTATGTTTTCCTTGGTGCTTTTTCAGCTTTGGGATTGGGATATGTGGATGAGGCTTCCAGATATACGGAAAGGTCGGGAGTGCGTTATTCCAGACATTTCCCGAACTTACCATTTTGGTGCTACCGGTGTAAATATGAATAGTTATTTTCAAGTAAGTTCGTCAAAATGATTCAGACATTTTCAGTGCCCGATTTAGGTATTCGAAGTAGGGGTCCCAGGGAGGGACTTTCACAGATGGAGTTTAGACAACCTCAGCCTCAACATTGTTAGGGATGAGGTAAGAAAACTTGATTATGTCACCTTTAGGTGGATAGAAATGGCACTCTATCCCGAAGATTCTGAAAAATATGACAATTTAGGGGTTTCAAAGGCTTACTTAATGGATTTTAGAGAGTAATAATAAGTACAAAATACATATGCATTTTTTTTTTCTCCCTGACGAATTGTGGTTTTTCACCCCACCAGGGGTGGCACCGTGGGCCCTTCTCCCGGCGCCACCCCTGGTATGTATTTTTTTATATATCTGTATATTAGTGAAAGTGAAATTGTATGTACACCATTATTTGTTCTCTTAATGTAAATAAAAAAGTTTGTCTTTATGAACATTATATGAGTTCTTTCCTGAAACATTCAATCCTTTTTCTAAATTTAGCAGTATTTTTTATTAAATTTTTATATTTTTCTTTTTAGGATTTATATTTTAAAAAACATCCAATAAATACGGTTCCACACGTAAAGTTAAAAGACGTTGACCTTCTGAAGAAAGACGAATATGAGAACGAAGTAAATAAGTTAATCAGCAAGGCAATTCCGCTGGATCACACCGTATCCCCCTGCGAGGATAAGTTTATTCCCTCCACTCCGGGTGGAAACTACGTCCTCTACATTCGGATGGAGAATGCTGGAGATTATGAAACCTGGACAGAACTTGCTAAGGTTGGTAAATATCAGTCGGAAGGTCGGGGGGAGGCTCGAGAGTGATGCTCGTCACACTGCTTGTGTACTTGGGTCAGACACTTTATCTGCATTTGCCTCTCTTCACCTAGGAGTGTAAATGGGTACCCTGGTAGAAGGTAAATGATTCGGAATGAAATCAGTAGTGCCGATCACACGCGTAACTAGGAATACGTTTGTATGATTCTGTATCCAATGACCAGGGCAAAGGTGTTTTGTTCAGTTTTTTGCATACAGTATGTGTGCTTTATAAATCCTATTACTGCAATTAAAAATATAATAATGATGTCTCTTTAGGTTAAAATAGCCAAACATAGTAGTAGTAGAATTAAAAGAGAGAGTTGCTTTAAAATTTTCCAATTTTGTAGTTCATAATCATTAAAAAATAGCAATTCAAAATTTATATTTTATTTCAAGGTTTTGTAGTATTCATTAGAAAATGGATCATTCTGCTAAGCCCCATCTCTTGGATATTGTTTACTATGAGCCTACAAAATGAAATACTGTACATGCTCAACTGAAAACTGTTTGTGGGACATAAGTGTATTGAATAATATGTTAATATCATGTGCTTTAAATAATGTTAATTTGTTATGGTGCAATACCTTAAGAAAAATAATGGGAAAATCCAAGGGTGTATACCACTTTGTCTCAGTTGGTAGAGTATATGAACGTTAATCAAAAAGTCTTGGGTTTAAGTACTGATGGGGACAATATGTTTTTCTCAAAAATATGTTATCATGCCATGGTTGGTCAGTTGTTAAGTTAGGCTCTGGAAAGGCCCATTCATCTTTGAGGGTTTGAACCCATTTACCTTGTGTACTTGCTCTCTACTGAATACTACACATGACTGGAATACTCCTCTAGGGATCAGAGGAGGCTGTTACATGATTGACTCTGTTTCCAATGACCTTTAAAAAAGCATTTTGTGACATGCTGGACAGGCTGTATAAATGCAAAACATTGTTGTAATCATTATTATACAAGTATCAAAATAATAGTTATCAAAATAATAACTTTGTTATAATTATTGTTCTAATTGTTATATTATCTTGATAACTATTATTATCATTAATTTTTATTATTTACTGTTAACTGTTTTGAGTTCGATAATATATTTTTCCCATTGTTTTCATATAGTGTTTCCATATATGGGACTTGGATGTGAGGGGCTTCCATAAATCCATGTGGAGAATGTTCCTTAAGCAGAATCATGTCTTCATTGTTGGAACACCAGCATCACCCTATGCGTAAGTTTAATACAAATATAATCAGTATTTGGTGTCCTGTTGACTCAAGTTAATGCCGTCTAGAAAAACTAGGCTTAGGCAATATTTCCATTGGAAGCTGCACTGTTGTTTTTTTTCAATCAGTCAATCAAATAATTTAAATAGCGGCAGAATCCCTAAAACAAATTTCAAAGGCGCTTGAACAGCAAGGTTCCTCTTAAAAGTCATGCGCCAGAGAGTTCTAGAGGTTATGTGCAGCACATGAAATCAACATATGATGCCCAAAGAGTTCAAAAAAGAAAAGAAAAAAAAGTAGGTTTGATTGTGTCGTGGACAGACAGGAAGGGGGTGGAGTGCCTGTGAGCTAACATTGTCAACACCAGTTACTTATGGTTTATGTTATTACCAAAACCTAATGAAATTGTTCAATATTTTCTCCATATACAATATTTGTTTGTATATTAAATATGGAAATATGGTTTAGTTGTTTTTTGTTTTTTTTTTTTGTTTTTTTTTTTTTTTAATTTAAAGTTTCTTTTTATTATAACATGCATTTACTTTGTAAAGTTAAAAAAATGAATACAATTACAATATAGATATATAAATAAGTGCTGTACTGTTAGAATATAATGGATACAAAATGAATTGAAATAATGCTCATACAGAGACAAAACTAAGTTGATATATACACTATGAATTGTGCATTGATTTTATTTAATTATTAAATTTTTTTTTCCATTCATCAGAAAACACAAGCCAGCTGATGTTCCTGTTATTTACCTCAAGAATGAGAAAAAGAACAGATAGCACCAACTTCATTCCCTGAAATTTCAAATATTTTGAAATGCTGCAACAATGTTTTTCACATCATCCCCATACAGGAGGCAGGTCTTTTCACAGCAGGACTGAATATCAGATAGATGCACATACTTTACAATAGTGTTGCGGATAGACTAGGTCTCATAGAATTGGTCTACGGTCTGCTGTACTAATCCCCACGCTCTGGTACATGAAGGTTATTACTTGAGGCATGCAGTCTGGATTCTGTGATGTGATTATAACTATAGGCTTCCTGGAACAGCCAATCCAAGTCCATTGCTTATATTAAGAGTCAATTCTTTTAAAAAATGCGAATTGCTTTAGGTCTCTAGATGGGAAGTAACTTTCAGAATAATAGAGGGCTGGTTGCAATTATATAATTCTTGCCACAAGATTTTCTGATTCAGCTTTTCTCCATCCATGTACATTTGCATTGAAGTGTGAAGGAGTTGCTGTTTTCAATAGTTACCAGTCCTACGGAATTCTGATGTATTAGTAAAAATGTAAGCATAACCAGTTGTAGGATATGAGGTCTTCCATTTTGAAAATTTAAACCTTCGTTTTCGATGATGTGTGTTTTCAAAATACTAAAAATGTCATTAGGAACATACGTCTTTCCTCTCAAAATCTCTAAGACATCTTTGCAAAACCTCGCATAATTCCAGGAAGCCCTCTAAACCTCTTTATAATACACCTCTAAACACCCCAGGAAGATACTCCATAAATCTTAGCAAGACCTCCAACATCTTGACAAGACCTTCAGACTTCATCTTGATTATGATTACATGCCATTGTAAGCAACATCTTGGCAGGACTTCCAGATGCTTAGAAATACCTACTAATGTCTTAAAATATCTTCTAGATATTACCAGAAATCTTAGCAAGACCTTCATTATCTTAGCAAGACCTCCAGACTTGATCTTAATTCCAGCTGGTGGTTGTTTGTGTTACACTTGCCATTGCAAGCAAAATCTTGCCAAGATCTTCAACTGTTTAGAAATACCTTTAATACCAGAAATCTAAGCTAGACTTCCAAATGCTAGGAAGATCTGCCAAAGATCTTAGCAAGATTTCTATGCTTGCTGCCAAGAACGTTTTGTAATGATGGTCATTCCTGATGCATCAGATTGGTAGCAGACAGACAGGATGGTGTTGATTCCAGCTGGTTGTTCATGTTACACTTGCCATTGTAGTAGAACCACTAAAAACCTTTTGGCAAATTAAGTAGAGCATGAGATACATTGTAAAGAAACTGCAGCCAAAGCAATACAAACCTCTGGTGCTTTATGAATTTGGTCAATGTCCTTTTTGTTTGTTTTTTCCCAATAAATCGCATATATTACCAAAAAGTATAGTATATATTGCACCATGGTAACAGTTACAAATATCTATGTGTGTGCAATCAGTTCATTACTCCAATAACTTTTTGGTTCATACTTGGTTTTGGTTTCATCAGTGGAGGGCGATACATTTTATTTATTTATTTATTTTTTTTTTTTGGTTTTATTGACTGTTTTGAAAATATATTAGAAAACAGGATTGTTTATTATTTTTATATGATTTTATTCATAATAATATTTTATAATTATTATTTTTTTATAATGTCATAGAGGGCAGCACATGCATATTGCTGCAAGTAAATGTAATTTAGCATCACTTTCATGGGGATTTTTTTTTTTTTTTTTTTTTTTTGTAATTCTTGATCACCTTGATAATGCTACATTTGCTAAAGTTTGGTCTTTCAGATGTTAGGGATATATGTATTTCAAATGTTTTCACCATTGTTCATTGTAACACCAATTTTCATTGCCATTGTTATATTGTCAGGGGGTTAGGAAGTGGGTGTGAAACTGACATTTAACCGGGGCCAGACTTATCAAACTTGCTTTGCAACCAAAAAAGAAAAGAAATACTGTACAAGAGTTTGTCCTTCAAAACATATGGTATGATGGATCGATCGATGTCCAATTGAAGTGCACCCTTAACATGATCCAAGATCGCTCAGTCCTATCAACTTTTTCTTTTTTTAACTTTTAAAAAAATGTAGTAGTGCATAGTGCTACAGCATTTAGGAATGTGCTACATGTTGCCACAAAACAGTCTTTCTTGCCATCGCAGTGGCAGCAAGAAGCAAGAGTTTTTGTTCTGATTTTGATGTGCTTGTCAAGTAGTGTTTGTCTAATCCTGTACAGTCATTTTGTTTTAATGATGAAAACATTTGTTTTGTTTATGTATCGGAATGGATTGAGCTTTAATGTAAATAATATTAAAGAATGAATCATGTAAATTGTTATAATTGATTCTATTGTGCACAATGATTATGACACCACAATGAATTCATTTTTTTTTAAAAACATAAGTACTGAAATATAGTTTTCTTGTCATTCATAGTTAATTGCGGAAAAAATATTTGTCCAAGTGAAATCCAGTGAAATGTTCCACCTGCCTTTTTTTTTTGCGGCCACCGAGAGAATAAAATATGAATAACCGTCCACTTATTTGACGCAGTAATTCATTACAAATTGGTAAGAGTTACGTGTAAAATGTGTGTACGCATTTTCTTTATGCGTATCCGTCAAAGTCCATTAATTTTTTTTTCTCTATCGTCAATATTCGAATCATTTACTTTGAAACTTTGTTGATAGTGATTGTTGAACAATCTTGTGTCATTATTTGAACACTGGCAATTTTTGTAAATTTATGTTGTGTATGAATTTTTTTTTTAATAATGTGTTCACCAGTGCAAAAACAAACACATCTAATTTTTGATTTAAATATAAATGTATGTATATTAGCAACACCAATATGTTACACTATTTTTTTTTTTTTTTTTTTTTAAGTAGGAGAGACTAATTAATTTACATTTTCTTACACTTAGGGAGACAATTGTTTCAATTTTAATTAATTTCAAGGTTCCAAATAAAATTGTTAAAAGTAAGATAGTAGAGATATACTCTCGTTGTAAAGCCAGTTTACATGAAGAATAAGATTTAATGCTCAATTGGTTACATTTAGGGTAAGTGGCTGAGTGGTAAGGCTGGGCATAACTACAGCCATAACATCGAGGATGGTTTCTGACCCTCTTTAGCAGGGTTTCGCTTGGTGGTGGAACTAAGTGCGGATAAGGACTTAAAACCAACCTGAGGTCCCGTGTACACATCTGGCTCTTGTGCTCCTTAATTAAAAACCCATTGCATATTTTGGAAAAGTATGGGGTTCACTGCTCTGGGTTGATGGTGGGGGAGGGGAGGGGTTGTGATGTCCCTAACGAAAGTGGGCATGGTCCGGTGTCGCTCAATATCTTCTGACAGTGGTCCAGGGGTTTCAAAGACTTTTAGAGTCTATTAATATGTAGGAAATACAATATTTTTTTGTCCTTCAACGAATTGTGGTTTTTCTCCTTGGGGGTGGGGGGAGCTGTCCCCTGCTTCATGGAATTCCTTAGTTGGATGTGTTTGTGTGAACACCAAAGGTAACTCACTTAATTCTAAGACATGTTTCCTGTGGTGTTCTTCTGGTGGCGTGATTGGGCAGTACACCGAAACACAATCCCCAATTTTTTTCTGAAGTGCGTAATGCATTCTTTTGTACTTGCACATGGGCCATATTCTACACGGGACCAATGGCATGGTCGGGGGCATTCTTTTTTTCTCGGTCCTGAACTTAAACTGAATTGTTTTTTTGTTCTTTTCATAGAGAGTGTATTTCTTTTAACAAAATCTTTAAAACCAGTTGTTTTTAATGTTATTGTTGGTTTCTTGTTAATAGCTTAGTTATGAGTAGGCCTATACCAATAATTTGTTCCCTTTTGAAAAATTATTGTTGATGTCTTTGAATTTAAAAACATGTTAAAATGCGTGTTTAAAGAGGAATTATTTTTGTATGAATTGTTTAATAAAAACAAAAAAATAAAGACGATATTACGGGTGATAAAGGTTTTGATTTTCTGCACGGGAAACAAAGATATGCATGTGACGTGTATAGAATGTTATGCTCCGATTGTGTAAATATTTGTGGAAGAGTTTTGTAATTAATATTAATTAATTAGATTATTTTCAATTACATCAACACTTGAGTCTATCGAAGATTTCTCGAGATTATTTCATTGTTAAATTTACACCTTGTCAAAGAAATTTACTTATGGTATAATTTATGTCACTTAATGTAAATGTCTTATATAAATTAATTTAAAAATATAGATTCTTAAAGTATTTTATTAATATAATTATATAAATGTAATTAATTCAAATGAAATGCTTTAAGTTGTATGATGAGTTTTGTTGACGAATTGAATTATTTTCTTATGTTCAGTAATACTGTGCCACCGAGAGGGAGGCAGGGGAAGATCCCCAGGGCCCATAGGAATTACAGGTAGCATTTTTTTCAATATGTATGCCCAGTATAATTATTAATCTTTTACAAAAAAATTGTAATATGCACATTACTATCATGGGCCCTCAATAATGGCATGGGTCCCCTATTAATGGGCCCCTCCAGATTGACAGGGCCCGCCCCAAAGAAAAATTGTTTGCGCCTTCGGCGCAATCTTTCCCGCGCTTTGCGCTCGTAAGTGAGGGCCCACACTAACCTTTGCCTCTGTTACAATTTCCCCTCTTGGCGGCCCTGCAGTAAAACTATTAGTAACTGGTATTATTCATCAATTGACTTATTATTTCCATTTATTTTATCTCTTTAAAAAACTTAGTGTCGAAGAGATAAATAACAAAGAAAACTTTGGTCCAGTGGAAAATGTCTTTTCTTTTCTTTTTTTTCACAATATGTTAAGATAACATAGTGTGTTTTGAAACTGCATATATTCATTGTTTTTTGTTTTCTAGTTTTTTTTTTTTGCTTTTATTTTACGTACACGAGCAAAAGTGAGAACGCATAATTATGTATCATTTGTTTAATCGCTTGAAAGCAGTTGGGATTGGGCATGAATTAAAAGATCAGAAATATCGAAAGTAGGCGTATTTGTTTATATTGTTTGTGTAAATTATATTAATAAGTAAACAATATTAGTTTTATAAGTTTTAGTCAAGATGGGTAACGTCAATCTGTGCACTTGTACTTTAAAAGCCGGTGGCTACATTCGAATCGACAAGAGTGACAAAATGAAGAAACATATTATTTTCTTCCTAAATTTCAATTCAGTACATTACTTCCTTCGTGGCCCTGTAGCACACACACATGGCTCTCTCTTTAACATGGTTGCACCTCACCTTGTGAGACCAGCTGTCGTGACCCCGTTCACCTCAAAATGCAACGCGTGGCTCTCTCTGGTGACCCTGTCCACCTCACTACGCGATGGGTGGCTCTCGTGAGCCTGTACCAAATCATCATGCAACACGCATCATTATGCAACACGTGTTTCTGGTTGCCCTCCACCTTACCACACAATGCTTGGCTCTGGTGCGATGTGTGCTCTCGTGAGTCCACCTCATAATGCAACGCGTGCCTTTCTCAAAATGCAATTTACACAACCTCACAACCTTGTAATAGTGTAAAGCAACACAAAAAATCAAGTCGCTATGGGCATTATTTTTAATTAAAATATCAATTCTATCGTTGCCATTTATAAGTTGGTAATGACAAGAATAGTATAGATGTACTATTGAGATAGCCAGCTTAATATTCGCAAGGTCATGACAATGTTATTTTGTAGAAATAACATGAAAAAAGCTAGCCGTATTTTAAAAAGAAAAATAGCATTTCAAACGCTTGTTAATTTATAAATATATAAAATACAAACACAACCTGAACTTTAATCCTTCAGTTACTCAGTTCGTTGTCCATCATATGTTGCTCCATCATGGAAGTAGTATTGACTATCATTAGCATCCTTTCAGGATGAATTATAAATAATTGTTGTCTTTTCCCGCGCCAGGAAAAGCTATTGTTTTTTCTTCTATGCCTTCTAAACCTCGGTTTCTTTGGTATTATTAATAAAAAGTAAGATCAGTCAGCAAAGAGCGTACAGTGAAACTGGAAGATGAGATCAGAAAAGAAACAAGAGAACCATAAATTGAAGAAAAGATATATGTCTACTAGAGTTGAATAAACTGAATGGTATCGTAGGTCCTGAAGATTGATGAATATATATTTTAATGAAGAAAATACATATGAACGAAACTTACCGTGCATAGCATTTAATGCAGATCTACAAGCACAGTAGAATTGAGTCAGGCTGACCCATAGAAAGGATTTATGAAGTGAATAGAAGATTTGAAGACTGGCTTGGACCGCTTTCTTATTCTAAGTTCAAGAAACAGTACTGTTATAACGTGAAGTTATAAATAGTTCTATGCTTTAGTTCAGTATATTATTAAAGTCAGTCTCCAGAATACAAAAACAATATTGATCTGTTGTGCAACTGACTTTTCTAAAATACAAATACTGTACATACTTGACGAAAAACTCGGGAACGGTTAATGAGATACAGGTTTTTGAATATTTAAATAATCTAGGGGAAATGGTTGAAAAGGGGTGGTTATGCATGTCTTAGAAAAATATCGAATTTTGAACTATTGAATTGTGTATTTAAATGAAGAAAGTTTTATTAATTTTGAGATAATAATTAGACAGAGAAGAAAGGAAAAAATAAATGGAAAGACTTTTTGGAAAGCGCACTGTACCTGAACTATAAATTTAAAAAATCCAATATTAGATTTATTTTTTTAGCTATTAAAAAAAAGACGTTTTAAAAAAAAAAGTTTTTTATGCTGGTTGTTGGATAATAATAACAACACACCTTCTACGAATTGCTACAAGAACGATAATCGCAACAGTAGCAACAATTAGCACCACAGCTGTGCCGCCATACATCCGCCTCATATGATGGGACCCCCTCTTTGATTGGGAAGTTTCCTCCTCGTTACTGTTGTTCTTCACTTCTTCATTGGACTTGATGACGTTTGTTACGGGCGCATGGGATGATGTTATCCGTGTAAGTAATCTATTCGTTGCTTTTGTGGATATGTTTTTATCTACGAATTTCATCGACGGTGTTGGTGATGTACTTTTAACTAAAATGGTTTTACTAGAATTCGGTGTCCATGTCGCACGAGCAGATTTCGACTTCGTTGTTTTCTCAATGATACTAATAAATTTTTTGTACGTCGTGGTGGTTTCTTTGGCGGTTGTTTTTGGAAAGAGCATTTCCGACGTTGGAGACAATTTATCGTATGGTAATAAAGTGGTTGATGGTGTTTTTGTGGTAGCAACTTTCGGAGCAAAAGGTTTTTCTGAGGAGTAGAAGGTGAAAGGAAGGTTTTAAAGGTTGATCCAAATTGCTTTATTATAGACGATATTAAAGCACGGTACATGAAAATCACGGATCTATCAACTGATTGTCGTTATGTTGGTTTGTTTTATTAGGGAGCTTTCGATTGCACGACGACGGTGGAACGTAATGACGTCACGTAATGACGTAATAAAGTCATCTGCGCTTTCGATTCGCGCGAATTAAATTCGCCTAGTGGAAAACAGTCTTCAGAGAACGTAAGTTGGTCACGCATGAGTGATCCGTTCTAGCGCCGCGTCGTCGCGCAAATTGAAAGCTCCTTATTCTTTATGCAAAAGTCTTCCTCATAATTAACTACAACTACATGTACTTAAGCCTTGTCTAGACTATGAAATTTTACTATGTGACATGTATACTACCTACACATTATGACGTCACATCTTGACCATATATAGGCACATCATGACTTTAAATGGGCATACAAGTATTTTTTGCGAAAGAAACTTTGATAGTGTGGACTGAGCTTCATTATGGGTATAGATTTTAAAATTTTTATAATATATTATATATTATACATAGTATATTATATATTATAATTATAATTATGTATTATATATAAAAATAATAAAATTATATAATTATATATTATATATTATTATAATTACCCGATAAACACCCTTCCTCATCACTGTTATCTACGCAGTCTGCAGATCCGTCACACTTGAGTCTAGCGGGCAAGCAGTGACGGTTCCGACACAAAAATTCGTCTTTCCCTGAACAGTCAGCTGATAGTGTACCTTTGAGCCAATTAAAAAAAAAACGATTACATTTTGGAGATTCTTTGTAGGGGGAATGCTTGAATTTACCCACTAAAGCTGAGTGCCAACGGGGTACCCAAGGCCCCGAGTCCAAGGGGAAAGCCCCAATGGGGTTCGTCAGGCGAGTCACCCGGAGCTCACGCATTCTGATGGTTTAGATGATCATTTTAAATCGATCGAACGAATCGAAGAACGTATTCTGACAAAAATGTTGTACAATTGCATGTTCGATGGATCTGCCCAACTAAGGCCAATTAAAATATTGTTAAAATAAAACAACCAATTATACATTTTTACCGACACAGACAATTAAAATTAAAAAGGCTTACATGTAGTGAAGGTGTAGGTTTGTTGTTAGTTCGCCCACCAATTAATTCCAAGGTTCTGGGTGCAAATAATGTGACAGCACAGAATTACTGAGACTAAAAACATCTCCACTGACCTGTACTTAAGCCTTGAAGTAAGACTTAGTTTGTAAAGCAACTTATTATTATTATTCTTTTATTAAAAATAGCCCTTGAATATCAGCTAATGTGGACGGGCCCCTCTACAAATATATTGTAAACAAATAAAGCAATAAAGAGAAAATTATAAAAGTGTATGATTATGTATCAAATGTTAGACCCACTCTGGGACATGAAACGACCAAATTATATTATTTGGAATCTCCGCCACTACGTGTGATATCTGGCTTGGCTATACGAGGTAAACCAAGCAAGTTTGACATCTTTATTATATTTTCCACGATCAACAAAATAGGATTGAATTTCTTACTACAGTGGTGACCACTTTCGTCAGTGCCATCTGAACACTGTTTGACACCGTCACAAAGGAACTTCAATGACAGACATCTTTGCTCATTGTCACAAGTAAATTCTTTGCAGAATGGTTGTACTATAGAATAAAGAAAATTTAATATATTTTAAAGCTTATTTTATAGGATACCATTACCCTAGATATAATATTACTATGTAAAATTTCGAATGTATTCTAAACCATGGCTTCCATAAAATCGCTACACCCCACCCGCGTCATCGTAAATTAGTTGTTGTGGGACATGCTCGTACTCCTAGTTCTGTTCTGATTAGTCAGTTGTAAAGTTTGATTGACACTAAGACAAAGTCAATTTCAAATGAAAATCGACTGCATGATGACTGACCGACTGAAAATCGACTGTAAGAGTTGCGTTTCTTTAGCTTTGCTTTTCAAAGCATACATAATAGATGCTGGCATGATACAGTAGAACATATCATTTTGGGCTAACTCTTTGGGGGACACACCATTTATGATTGCATTTGTGGTCACAAATGTGCTTCCCTGATATGGGTTCTTGGGCTCTGTATGTAACTCTCACTTTTAGAGGAAATTGAATGGACGGGCCTTTAATTTACAAAAGTTTATTTGAAAGCGTATGCCTACCATAATCAATGTCACAACGGAGCTCGTCACTTCCATCCATGCAATCAGTTGGGCCGTCGCAGCGTAGCGCGTTCAATATACACTGTCCATCGTCACAGAGAAACTCGTGCTCACCTACACACTCCACAGTAGCACTTCCTAAAATGGGAAAAAATGATATATTTTAGGTAGGCCTACGCGGTAAATAATGTTCGGTCATCGGCGGGAATTATACGAGAATGATATAGGCCTATATTTACTAGCAGGAATTGATATTGTTCCGACATGCCGTAATGCTACAGTTTAAGTCCGTGCCACCAATCAACACCTCGGATTTGTGTAAATCGTTGGAACAATACACGGTGTTAACTAGCAGACGAGTGTAGATCTGCTAAAACAAACAAACGAAGCAACTTCGAAATTACTTACGGCATTGCAATCCTTCGTCAGTTCCATCCAGACAGTCGTTTAACCCGTCACATACCGACGAAAACGGAAGACACTTGTCGGAATCGCATTCAAACGTAACACATACTAAAAAGGAACATTCCAGATTTGAACATCACTGTCGGTAACCTTACTATAGGTCTAAAGCTTTACCCACACTTTATTATTTGACAAAAACATGTGACATGCCAAAATATGGTCATGATGACATCATCATGACCATATTAGGCATTATGACTATATATTGACATACAACAGTATATTGTCATTGTATTGACATACAACAGTTTTTTTGTCAAAGAGAAGAATTTGATAGACAGATTTGTGGACAGAGCTTTAAGCTAGCCAGGTTTCCATAAAATCGCTACAGTCTATCACTGACAGCTTTCGGTGGCGCATTGGTCGACTGAATCGTGAAGCTACGCATTTGCGCCCGGTATAGCGATTGCAGTGAAGGCGTTGTAGCGATAGTGTAGCGATTTTATTGAAACTAGACTTAAGACAGTAGACATGTTTTATAATATTGAAATATTAACGGTTGAATAATAACTTCAAGAATGTCCCAAGCTCATAGTAAAATTAAACTCGAAGGTGCTATTAACATGAACACAACTGGACATATATAGGGACCTGTCATTTCTACGAAATTGCTTTTGGGTTTTTTTCAAGTACCTGTAACAATGGACGGATAACATTTCTATCCATGGCCACTTATAATTTCCGCAGCAGTTTTATATGAATCCTAACTTTGCTTCGTTCTATTTTGAACAGTTACTCAGTATACGACGTCACTCAAATGGAACGCTTATTTTGGCAAGTGATGGAATCGAATGCACCCTACCACCGCGCCTGCCAACTTTGTAGACCTATAGGCATATAAGTTCAACATTTTACACCTCTTTCCTCGCCCACATCCGTGTATGTATAATGGTTAGACATAAACAACCTCATCACCACGTCTAGGAATTCCACATTGTTTCTTAAGATTTTTTTAAATTTTAGTTCTAATAAATCTGCACTAAATGCTAAGCATTTTTTTTAAACTACCGTATAATTGATTATAATAATTATTTATGTGTTGAAGAGAATTCACCCTCACGAATTTTTTTCTCTTCAAAACACAATTTGTATACTCTTTCTAGGTGTATACCAGACCTAGACTCACGGTAAGAGGTCAGATCGCTTACGACGATAATTCTGCAATAACCATCCCCGATGTCGTCGTCGTTGTCGTTGTCTTCGTCATCATTATGGTCGTCGTAGGCTAGTTTTTGTTGTCGTCATCATCATCGTCATCATTATCATCGTCATCATCAACCTCATCATCAACATCATTCATGTCTGCATTTTCTCGACTTTACCGGGGTACTTACTGCGCCCGACGGGTACAGCCAACATCGTACGTATGCATGGCCGCCAAGAGGAGAACCTGGAACATGGGCAAGGGTTGGTGTGGTGTGGGCTTTCGCTAAGAAACGAGAAAGATTACGCCAACGGGCGCATTTTTGTTTTCTTTTTGGTTGGGGCCTATCAATCTAGAGGGTCCCATTATTAGGGAACCCGTGCCATTGAGGGCTTATGATGGTAATTATTATTTTCGAAAAAAAATATAGGCCCTATAAAAAATGCTACCTGCAATTTCCATGGGGCCCTGTAAGCTTGGGGCCCTGGGATCTCCCCCACCCACTTTCAATGTGGCACTGTACGTATGGCAAGCCTGTAATTCAGAGAAAAAATGATGAAACGGATTGCTATATACGTACGATGCAGTAAGTGCTTGGGTTTATGAGTACTGTACCTCTAGTTATCCGATCAGACTTCTCGACAATATGTCGTCATACCGCGCCTAATCCTCCCTGATGTTTATGTCCCTAGGTCCTTTACTAATGAGCATGTAATGAATCATTACATCTGACTGTGTCATCTTGACATGTGCAGGTCCCCCTCCAATTAGAGACCGCCTCTAATAAAGAAAATCACATTTCTGTTTCCCCAAATCGTGGCTTGTATTCAATAGGAATCGTTCTTAGCTTGTCTCTGTGTAATTACGGTAACCCAACCCTTTAATTTGAGGGAGCAATCTTGGGCCTGTATCAAATTAAATAATCTCGATTGTAGCGTTACTGCCCATTTATATGCCTACGAGTAAACTCCTAAACTGGTACAGAACACAGCACTCCTCATGCTTTCACGTCCTTAGATAGGCTGACATCAATCCGGTACTACGTGCAAGCACGCGGATCTGTCAGGTTGCCACGTTACTGCACCGTGTTTAAACGTTCCTTTTCTTACAAAGGTGGTGTTTAATGACTGGCCTTCACATAACTGTAATGCAAGTGCGCCAAAGCCAATACACGTTTTTTGATAATATCATGTGATTTTTACTGTTTTATGCTATAGTACTTTATTGTAAATCTCTGTATTATTTTATTATTGAGGAAAAATTGGAAGATAACGCAGAAAACCTGAGAATACAGTTGTAATGCGGCTGGTGGTAAATTAAAAGGGAATTAGGCAAATAGGAAAAGCCAGCCGTGCAAAAGCGATTAGTGGAACCAATCGTTGGATATATATTTATTAATTTTTTATGTAGATGCTTTAATAATGTAAAAATTAAAAATAATGAAAGAAATGGATAGACCTTTGTAAAATAAGAGCGAAGTGCTAGGAAAATATATAAACAAGTGAATAGATAGTAATAACAGTGCTCGAATAGGAACAAGATTTGTTGATCATGTCCTTTATTCAAACACATTATTTACCTTTCTTTAATAATTTATATATAATTTAAGTATCAACGGCTATCCTGAGTTATATATATTTACATATATATATATGCCTATATATACATATATATATATATATATATATATATATTATATGTATATACACATATATATCTGTCTCTTATACACATCTCAGGTGTTTTGGAACTGTCTCTTATACACATCTAGATGTGTATAAGAGACAGTATATATATAGGACACGTATAGGCGTATACCACAACAGCTGTACCTACCCGATGGAGTTGAGTCAATACGAGCCACATACGTTAGTAAAATCACACATTGTACGAGGTACCCACGGCTTAGAAGAATATATAGCATTGCTACGAGGTACTGTGTCCACGAGCAAAAAACCAACCCAGACTCAGGCAAACCCCTCCTGCCGAGTGTCCGGCTACTGCACGTCCTCACCCAATGCAACAATCGTAACAATCACCTTTCTACTAATTTTGAAAACACAAACAAACAGCTTAGACTTGTACAGTGTTTCACCTCCCTGTCACAGGAAGAATCGACTTTACTCAAATCGGAAACACGTATTTCTGCACTATAACAACGTAACAAACTTTATCACTGTGACCTTGTTTCTAATTTCATTAGGTATCAGAACAGACCATTTTACGGAGAAGGGTGATTTTAACTTTAAAAAGTAAATATCTTCTATTAAAGTTGCTGGAAGTACACATTATAGTTGAATATCACAACCCAGTTTATATAGGCCTATTGATTGGTGGGGTC